AGTATTGGAGAACGCGCCCGCAATTGCACACCCTCTTCTGGAAACGGTTCTCTCTGCACCAGTGCTGCTGGGCGACGCCGTGTCGACCAGCATCTAGCGGCGCAAATTATTGAAGCGCGTGGGCTCACGCACTTCCGCGCACCTGAGGATAAACGGTGGATAGTATCACAGCGACGTTCTAGAGCAGGCAAGCGCCTGGCAGATGTCTTCTTCAATGTGGTATTTGCTCGACCGCTACGTGGTATTAAGAAGGATGCGTGCGAAGCTGATATTGCCCTGGACCTCAAAGAATGCCCGGAGGGTTCGGTTCGTGCTTTTCACGAGGGCTTCCTGTTGAGCGTGGTACCCTCACGGGCGCCGCATGTGTTGATGATTCTGGCTTCTGGCCCCCTTGTCACGGCCCTAGCGCTGCCAGGGGCCAAGTTTCGACTCTGGGCCGCATCATTCGCAGACACATGGTTGGATTAAGGTTCAAGTTGCACTTCGGGAAAGGGAAAACGGCTGCAGTAATCTCTTACAATGGTGAAGGCACGCTCAAGGCGAGGAGGGAGATGGCCAACATTGCGGCAGTTGCGCTGGACAGTTCTTCTGGCGACCGCATTTCGATCGAGCAGTCCTACAAACACGTCGGCGGCAGCTACCCTGGCGACGGCAGCAGTGGGCAGGATATCTCTCGCAGGAGGCAGAAGCATGCAGCTGCCCTGCGACCGCTCAGGTCTGCGGTGATCAAGCACAGCATCGAGCCAAGCGACAAGCTCAAGTACGTCGACGCACGTTGTAGCATCCACTTATTCTTTCAAGCAGAAACTTGGGACCGCTTGTCGGCCAGGGCGGCCACCAAGCTAAACCATTCGCTGATTTCTGGTTATCGTGTGGCGACGAAGAAGTTACACAATGCACCCACTGGCCAAAGAACGTTGGATGGTAAGGTCCCTGCAATATCTAATAGGTTGGATTATCTGCACAGCTTACGTTTCCGTAGACCGAGGTACGTCGCACGATTACTGCATGATGGCCCACCTACCCTCATACTGATACTGAATGCCACAGTGGGTATACCATCGGCCTGGGCCACACTGGTGACCGAGGATGTCATTTGGATGCGGCGGTACGGCCATGAGGGCCCAGACCAAGATCCTCGTTCCGATGTTGGTATTGCTGCCTGGATGCAAGATGTGGCCAAGGACCTCAACGGATTTCAACGACATCTGCGCAAGGCATGGGATACTTTTCAAAACCAGTAGCTGGATGACTATAGGAACTGCTACGTTGTGCGCATGACCAAACACATTTATCCAGGATTAATTGCCAACTGTGACGATGATCAAGAGCAGACGAGATTTTTCTGTTATGACTGCAACCAACATGTTGCTTCAATTGCTGGGTGTCGTGGTCATTGGAGCCGTGTGCATCAGCCAGTGGATGCAGCGCAATTTTACGCCGATGGTGCAGAGTGTCAGTGGTGCGGGGCTGTTTCTACGATCGCGCAGGGTTGCTGCGCCATTTGCGAAGACCAACGGGAGCATGCCTTGGCATGCTGATGTCTAGCGTTGCCCCCTCGACGTCGACGAGGTTGCGGAATGGGCGGAGCTGGATCGGAAGCAGGCTATCGAGTAAAGGAAGTCGGGCCTTCGTGCAGGCGCGCAGCTCAGGCCTGCTCTTCCTGGTCTTAGACAACCAGCTGCTTCCGACGCGCGCCCGCTGCCACCATGTGTTGTATGTTCCCCTGAACAGCATTTGCCGCCACTGCCCAGAGCTGGGAACAGGATTCATGCATATGTTCTGCACCTGGGTTGGGGTCCAAGAGCGATCAATGATTTTTCTGATATTATGGGCAGGGATACTGGCATATTTCGTTTGCACTTCATTTGGACTGTGATGACCCGTGTGTGACTACCAAGCTGGAATGTACTGCTTTTCCTGGATAAGATTTTACGGCGGATTCAATCTGGTGTTGTGCTGGGAGTTGTGGTCACACCCCCGTGGGCATCATGGTCGGCGACGCTCCGACGCGCTGGCGCCGTGGGCGAGCCCGTCCGACCTGTATGCCAGCCATGGGGTGCTGACTCTGTCACTGCATACTGGGCCAAGAAGCTGCGCAGGGAGAATGCTGGGATCAGGGCTGGTACGTTGCTCCTGGCTGCCGCAGCTGCTGCAGGCTCTGTGGGACTATCTCTGCATTCAGTCCCCAGTGCCGATGATGCCGCGGCTATCTGGAGTTTGGAAGTCCTGGAAGCCCTGGCAGGTCGTCCCGAGGCGAAAGCTGTGTGTTTCGACCTCGCGGATTTCGGCCTACCCCAGAGCGCAGTTGGCCGAGTACTGTCGCTCCATTGCCCCCAAGTGTCTGAGCTGATGCAGCAGCGGGGTCTCGTGGCCCATCCGACGGGGGCTCTGGAGAGTGGTGGCTGGATGTATCCTAGTGTACTGTGGGAGCTGTTTGGGGAGGCTATATTGTTGGCTCAGCCTGCACTGCGAGGTGATGCTACTGCGGGCTGTGTCGAGAATTTCGAGCTGATGGCCTTCCTCGCCCCTCCTGAGAGGTATGCGGACCCAATGGAAGAGACACAGGAGTACGAGCTCGTTGAAGGTTCGCTCGTGTCGCCTGTGATGTTCCCTCCTGCTGTTTGTGGTGGTGTACGTCACCAGATGGCCCAGCGTGGTGGCGAAAGCGGCAGGGGATGAAACAAACCCCAAGCGCCTCCCTGCTGGGCCATGGTCACTGTCTGCAGCTGGGCGGCTGGCGGTGGGACCGCGCAAGGAGTTCAATGTCAAGTGCGTGTTGTGCTGCGCCATCGTGGGTCAGCGGCCCAGCGTGGTGGCGGAACCGGCGGGGGATGAAACAAACCCCCTGCGCCGCCCCGCTGGGCCCGTAGGCGGCGGTTCGCCTGGCCGGTGGCCGATCGCTGGCTGGGTGCTGCTGCCGAGGTCTCGCCGCTGGGCGTATCCATCGAGGGCGCCTGGCGGTGGGGCCGCACAAGGAGGAGCCCATCGAGCTGGGGCGTGTTGGACTGTGCATGTGGACTCCGCGGGGCATCCGCCTCTGGGGATGGGAGAGAGAGGAGGAGGAGGAGGGGAGGAGGAGGAGGAGGAGGAGGAGGAGGAGGAGGAGGAGAGGAGGAGGAGGAGGAGGAGGAGGAGGAGGAGGAGGAGGAGGAGGTGGGAGGTGGCCTCGCCCTGCCCGCCCTGCCTCTGCAAGAGGCCGCCACCTCCCCGCCGCGCGCGCGGGCATGCCTGCTCGACGCTGGCCGGCGCCCGCAGGGGCGGCGGCGGCGGGAGGGGGGGTCGAGGGCCTCGAGCCCCTCCGGGCCCCTTGGAAAGCTGGTCCAACACGGGCGCACTTCTCTTAGGTCGGGTAGGTCCTCCTGAAGGCGGATTGTGACAGAATTTGAGAATAAAATTATAAAAAACAAAAATGAAAAAAATTGGAAGATCGTCCCCAGACTATTTTTCAACATTTTGTTTGAACACCCTTCTGTAGAAGGACGTGCCCGATTCAACACTTCCCTTAAGACGCCGGCGACGGCCACTTTAGAGATCCTCGCGACGCAATGTTTCCACGCTGGGCGCTTGCGCGCGGCTTCGGGCCCTGGGGCCATCACAAATCGATCCAGTTCGAAGACAGACTGCCGCAGGGAGATTGGGCCCCCAGGGCTCCCGTCGCGACTCTTCGAGATGCCACCAAGTTGCTGTGCAGCGTCGGATCCCGGGCATCCCCGACATGGGCCTCAGAAGGCCCACGCACTGCACGCGGCGGGTGGACACGGAATCCTGGCCCAGAACACAGGGAACGCAGCGCCAGCCCACGGCCGCTAACACCCGGCGCGCGCGTCTTGAAAAACTGAACTCGCACTGGCTTACATCCCTGTCTCAAGAGTAGAAGAAGAACAAAAACAACAGCACAAACATAAACTGTTAGCGCTCCGCGCGGATTTCTTGGATCAGCGCTGGACCCCACTCCTTGGCGCGCGGAACGCGCCAGGGGCGGCGCCAGAAGCGCCGCTGAGGGGGCCCAGCGCGGATCCAAGAAATCCGCGCGAAACGCCAACAAATTATGATTACGCCGATTATGTGTTCTTCTGATTCTTCTTTTGATCCATATTTTGTCCTTCTCCGAGAAAGCCAGCGGCAGCAGCCGTGACTTGAGCGGGGTAGAAGGGACGCCGGACCTCCAGAAAGGCATGCGGCCGCCGCCATCGGCGGCTCTGCTGCGGCGCACACCCTGCAGCTATGTGGCTGATCAGGGAAGGAGGCGGGTCGAAAAGGGCGGGGAAAAGGAATCCTGTGTTTGGAAGTGGGCGGGCGTCTCGCGTCCGCCCCGAGCGGAAGCACCTCGCGGGAGCGACGGATGACGGGGGGCCGACGGGGGCCCGTATACAGAGCGAGCGAGGCGAGGACCCAACAGGCGGAGGGGACCGACTGACCATGCCAGAGGAGGCGGATGAGGAGGTCGGTCGGTCGCTACTTCGGGCCTCGGGTCGAGAGTCCACCACTGAAAGACATCAAAGATATAATTCGATATGTAGACCTGCAGTGCGCGCATGGACGGTCTGAAAATGGCGCGCCCTCTCTGGAGCCCCGGATTGTTGTCGCTCTACCATATGCGGTGAGACTCGGGAAGTTTAAATCGCTCGGTTCGACTGAGTTACGAGAGCCGCTCTAAATCTGCTGTACTGCTACGTTGCATTCTGGCGTGCTGTACACGTGCTCGATTGCTGCTGCTGACACGTGGAAAGGGGGGGCCGCAGGCGTCGGAGGAGGGAAGAGCAAAGATGATGGAGGATCATTCGCGAGGCGGCCGCTGCCGCACTGCTCACGGGCGGTATCACGCGAGCCGCCGTTCATCCCGCCTCGGACGTTCACCGCCTCGGGCTCAGCCGCGTCCTCCCCAGTCATACTGAGGTGGACCACAACAGACGCGGCGTCCCCTGGGCCCGACGACGAAGGCAGCGCGGGGGGAACCTCCACGGAGACAGACCGCGCCGCGAAGAGGCTCGTGTCCGTCACGACAGCTGATCCTGCGCCAGCTGGAAAAGGCGCTCCTGGTGTCCACGAGGAGCTGGGCCAGGCTTGATCTCCGCGCCGAGCTGCCCGGCGCACCGAAGGAAACGCTGCTCGATGCTGGGATCGCAGATAGCGATCGTGATCTTCGCCTGGTTGTCCTTCCAGCACTGCGAGACGCGGCATCCGCGCGCCAGAAACGTGAGCTCCTGCACCGGCATCGGCTCGATCTTGGTGTAGATTGCGGCCCGCGCATCCTGGTTGCGGAGGCCGACTCTGTCCCCCGCGTCGCGCGCGGCCAGGGCGATCTGCAGGAACACCTGGACGCATGCCAGCGCCGTGACCAGCTCTGGGGCTCGATGTTGAGCCGGGTCGGAAGCGCAAAGCACGCGCAACTTCTGCGCCACCAAAGCGCAGGCCTTCCCCGCCTTGAAGCCCGCCGCCGCGATCGCGGCATCCTCCTCCGACGTCAGAGCAAGGAGCGGTGCGTGGACGCCATCGGGTTCCTGATGTTGGACGCGTTCCCCAGGATCGCATTCGCCATCGCGGGAATGGGCTCGAGCGCGAGCTGCGTCTCCATCGGCGGCAAGCGATCGAGCGCGTCCTGCGGGTGGCCGCAGCTCTGGGCGAGCTCCGCCTGCATCTCGCGGCGCCCTCCACGGGCGCGAGACGCTGAGGCAGCGGCGGCGGCCCCGCTGGCTGCCGGCTGCGGTGCTGCCGCGGCGGCGCGCCCGTCGCCGCTGCGGCCGCCCCCCCTGGCGCGGCGGGGGTGCGCCCCGCGGCTGGCACTGTCGGAACCACCTCGGCCACCACGCGCTGGCGCGGCTCGGCGACTGCGGGAGCGGGGGCGGCCCTCGGCGGCGCCCTGCAGCGACTGCGGGCCCAGGCGAAAGGCCGCGCGCGCTGCCCGCGCCCGCCGGGGCGCGCCGCGGCGCTGGCTGCGGCGCGCGCTGCTCGAGCAAGTGCGTCTGCAGAGCTGCGAGGTTCTCACAAGGGCCCCCCTGCTGAGCGCGCGAACTCCAAAGACTGCCCAAAGACTTGGAACCGGACAAGAAGGCCGACGCCGTGATGGAGGCCAGGGCGCGCATCAGGGACTGGGCAAGAGGGGGGCCTCTGAACGGGGCACCTGCGAGTCAAACAGGCCGTTGCCGCATGCCCTCAGGCAATTCGACGACTTCGGAAGGCGCTGGAGCAGAACGCGCACTGATTGGCGACAACAACGGAGTGAATGATGGTCCGACATCCGTGGCCAGAGTTTTTCTTTTCAATGAAACTTCTGGCGCGCGATCAAGGCACGGCGAGTAGCGAACTCGCGCCCGCGCGGAGCACCCTCAGCATCCAGCAGCTCGCAGCGCCAGGTCGGCGGTGGGGGCACCCCCCCGGCAGCAGCAGGAGGCCGCCAGCCAGGCGACGGGATCGCAACCGTGCTCGCCTGCGCCCGCAGCAACCCAGGATCCAGCATCCGGTAGCTGTCGCGCAGGTCCTCGCGGGTGAACAGCGCGACGACGATGAGCAAGCCGCCAGGCATCTGCATGTCATCGCGCAGCTCGCTCGCCTCGGCAACCTCCAGCAACGCCTCGACGTCGGCGACGAACCTCGGCGCGCACGGGTTGGCGTCGGCAGCGGCGGGGCCGTCAGCGCCAAGCGTCGGGGCCCGTTCCAGCGGCAGCTCTCCGAACACCACGGCGAGCTCCTGCGGATGTCGGCGGGGGAGCCGAAACCGGCGTTGGCGCTGACGTAGTCGACGAACTCGAAGCTATGCTGTTGCCGGGGCTACGCCAAGCCTCCTCAAGGCAGCCTCGTCAGTCACGGCCTTGCACTTCATGGGCGGTTTGCCATTATCATCGAACTTGGGGCAGCCATCATCATCCAGGAGAGGAATATTCTGGCACGCCGCGCCAGCCATCAGGCGGTGACCAAGGCTCGACGGCACCTTGTCCAGCTGCTGGCACTGCGACGCGCTGAGCACAATGACGTTCAGCCCGCTGAGCGCCGCCCCCTGCGCCGCGGAGACGAATGCGCTCCGCGTCGGGCGCCAGATGCGGTTCCGTGCCCAGAAACGCCCCATGCTATAGCATCCCCCTACGGGCAGCTCGCACCCTTCGCCGAAGATCCGTCTGCGCGCTGCCCGCGATGGAGGTTTGGGTGCCGAGGGCCGCGCTGTCGTGGTGCGCGACGCCTGCGAGGGCCCCCGCTCCGCTGAAGAACTGGAGCGCCTCGCGCTGGGAGCCGCGGGGGCAAGGCGAGACCGAGCTCTTGGGCGGCTTGCGCGCGTAGCCGCAGGGCCCCAGGGCGCGCCGCAGCTCGCGGTGCGAGTGCCTCGAGACGATGCCCGCGTTCCTGGCCGAAACAACCGCGCTCGCGCGATTGGCGTCGCCCGCGTGGATTCGAGCGCCCAGCGGCGCAGCAGCTTCCAAAAGTGGGCACCGCGCGGCATAGAGCGCCTCGCTCGGCCAGATCGCGGCGTCGATGTCTGCGCGAGGAGCTGGAGGTAGAGGAGGTTGGCACTGCCGCTCCTGGCAGGCGGTCCGGGGGTCGGGCAGGTCGTAGGCGGCCCAGGCGGCAACGCGCAGTCGCCGCAGCCACTCGGCGATGGGCTCGCAGAAGGTCAGCGCGAATACAAGCGCTGCCGGGGTGTCCCCCGTGAAAGCGCCGCAGCGGTTGCGGAGGTCCTGGTCGCCATCGGCTCCGATGGCGCGGAAGGTGCTGAGCTCGCGCCGCCGGTGGAAGTAGCCCTGCCCCTCTGGGCGCACTGCGGCCTCGACCGTCTGGCGCAGGGCTGATAGCGTGGAGGGGCCGAAGGCGTGAAGAAGTGCGCCTTCCCGATTGCGACCTCGCTGGCATCCGTGCACTCGTGGCGGTGGAGCGCCCTGTGGCGCGCGGTGGAGTTGAGCTGTGTACCGGGCAGTGCCGACCCTGCATAGGCCGTGGATGAGGCGCTCGGAGTTGAACTCGGACTCCCCAGAGTACCTGTCGAGGCCCGCGGTGACCGAGTGGTGCCAGATCAGCGGGGCGTGCTTGACCCTCCTGATTAGGGCGAGGATGGTCTTCGGAGCGCGCTCGGCGACGGGCGCGTCGATCACGTCGACGTCAAGGCCGAGCCCGCGGCGATCGCCAGCAAATCGGCGGCGAGGTCGCAGCTCCGCTCGAGCTCTGGGAGGAGGGCGTGGGCGAGGAAGGTGAGGGTGCGGGTTAGGGCGCGGGTGAGGTTCGTCATCCTCCTCATCTTCGTCACCAGGACGCCGCCGGCGTCGCCGCCTGCGTCGATCATCGCATCGACGCCAGGGCTCGAGGGCGAGCCGAAGAACCTCAGTTGGAAGACTGCGAGGTGGCGCAGCGCGACGTCGTGAGGACTCCGAAAGGACCTCGACCAGCTTCTCGAAGTCCTCGCGCCCGAGGTCGAGGTGGTCGCGCGCGTGCATCGGAGCGCGGGGCAGCGCCTCCAGGTACTGCTGGCGGTGCGTTTCGACCTCGATAGGAATCTCGTCGAGGCCTCCATCGGCGCCGGCCTGTGTGAAGTGCCGCGCGATCTCGGCGCGCCGCGGGAGGGGGCTGTCGCCGAAGTTGTAGCGGCGGCGGCGTGGACCCTTGCATTGGGTCGCGAGCTGGTGGCTCAGGCTCCAGACCTCGGCGAACTGCCACTTTTGCCACGCCTCGCGCATGTCATCCACGAGGAGCTGCACCTCGCTGTCGAGACGAACTCGGCGACGCGGCGCGCAGCTGGCGCGACGCCCTCGAGAGGGCAAAGGCCATGTCAGTCGGATCGCCTCATGTCTCTCGAGCGTCTCGGCGAGCGGCCAGCAAGTGAAGTCGCTCCGCCCGAAGTCGTTAGATTCGCAGCGGAACGGGGGGGCGGCCAGCGAAGTGCTTCTGAACCACGGTAGCCAGCTGTCCCATCCAGCGGCCCCAGGCTTCATCAAGCGCCTTCGCGTCGCACAGCGCGTGAAAGTAGTCGGGATGCTGTGCGAAGGCTTCCTCGAACTCTGTAGCGAAGGCAGCCGCTCCCGTGCCATGCTGCAGCGCCAGACCCAGCCGATGAAAACTCCAAACCGTCCGAGGTCGAGTAGGAGGCGCCTGCAGCGTATAGGTGACCTGCATCAGGAGCGGGACGTGGTCCTGGAGGCCAGGACGAAGCATCAATTTCAAACGCAGGTTGGCACTCTTGAGTGGGAGCACCCGCCGCACTGAGGGCGCTTGCCACGCGAAGACCGCAATGTGGTCGATAAAGGTAGCGCTACGCACACCGTGGAAGGTCGGCCCCACGTCGAGGTCGCTGGTGACCACCCTGAACGCAAAGCGTTCGAGCAGCTCCAGCATCTTGTCGGCCGCATAATGCTGCAGCTGGCGCCCGTATGGTGTATGGTCCCAACTCCGCGGAGTCCACCTGTTCGAAGATCGGAGGGCCTCGCTGACGAAGGCCGAACCCGTTATTCAGGTCGCAGTCGAAAAAGAAAGAGCAGACCGCCCTCGCGCCCAGGGGAGGGCCTTCTCGGACCAGTCGCAGATGGCGTCGGCGGTGGCCCGGTCCTGCTGGTGCATGGCGGGCGACCCCGCGGGCGCTGACTCCCTGGCCAATCGACGACCCGACTAGGGGACCACATGCGAACCCTACCCCTACCCCCCACGATTTCTGCGGGGGAGGGTGGGGTTCACTTCGTTCGGGAACTCACGAGCGAAGTGAACCCCACCCTCCCCCTCAGAAATCGTGGGGGGTAGGGGTAGGTTCGCATGTGGCCCCCTAAGCCGGCTTCGGAGAGGAGGAACAGGAGGAGGAGTAGGAGGGAGGAGGAGGAGAGGAGGAGGAGGAGGAGGAGGAAGGAGGAGGAGGGGAGGAGGGAGGAGGAGGAAGGAGGAGGAGGAGGAAAGAGGAGGGAGAGGAGAGGGAGGAGGAGGATCAGCGGGATCACTGCGGCCTCGGTCGGAAATCGACGCGCCGAGAGGACTCCGACACGCACCGCTGATGTGCGCGTCGGGCATAGCCCACCCAGAGGGCGTGCTATGCGCTCAACCAGCCCTTGGGAAAGGGGAGGAGCAAATTCTAAAAGAGGAACCCAAAGCCGGATTGAGCGATCCAAGGGGCACGTCTTACATGGCGCCTCCTCATCGCCTCGGCTCGGTTCGCTCGAATTCGCTCGCGTTGGGACTCGCTGAGGAGGGGGGGAGGGGGCGGGAGAGGCGAAGGAGGCGGGGCAAGGGGGACAAAGGGAGAGGCGAGCCCAACGGAGCCTATGTAAAGGTCCTCTTGGGTGGGGTCCACGGTGGGGTCCAACCTGGGGGCCTGGCTGCCTGGCGGCTGGCTGGGGCCTGGGGGAGGGGTGCACTGGGACCCCGAGAACGCCCGGACCAGAGGGCGCCTGAAGCGCTCCCTCTCGGGATCGGGCCGAGAGCCCCTAGGCCCAGCCCTAAAATCCGGCGCCCAAGCAACACCCTCCTCAGGTATGGACCCAACGAAAAAATCCCGAAGACCCTCCACCTCAGGACTACTCAACTCGGTCTGAGACCCGGCCCCAGGATCCAGGGCCGAAAAATCAGCAACCGTCTGGACAATCGACTCGGCCAGGGCCCTGCAAAGGCCGGGGGGGTAGACCTTCTTGGCCGCCGTTTTAAACTCCCCCCCCGTCTCTGCTTTACCCAGGAGCACTGAGTGCGCTCCACGTCCATGCGAGCAACGCCCCTGTCCGGGCGTCGCTCTCAAGCGCCGGTGCAGGCCGCTCACTCGCACGCCGACGATCCTCGTCGGCGCCCTGCCAGCCTT